ACTTCGTCTCCTACATAACAACAATAGTATAGACTCATTTTAGTAATTGTAATATATTTATTTTAATTACCACATCTTTAGCACTGTTAATAATATCAAGGAACCTTTGAAACACAAAGCTCATCTGAAAAATATTTACATTTCCAAGAAAATATACCACTACATCTTCATTATAAAAGACTAGTTAAAATGTCTAGAAAAATTCATGGTTTATTTTATGAAGCAGAAGAAGAGAACAACAAATACATTCTGTGAAGAAAATGCTCAGTTAGTAAACATTCAAGCACTTCATATACAATTACTACTGTGTTTAAAGAGTTAAACAGTAAATTCAATTTAGGGTAAATGCAATAATTTTCCTTTACTGCATATATATCATACAGATGTACGCTTTAAAATGACATCTGAATGACTCAACTCTGATCAGTAGTTTAATAATAATACTTATATAATTAACAACTGCAGTTTCAGGCGAGTAAAGGTACAGGAGTGCCAATGTTAATTACACGTAAGAGAATGAAGTTTTGTATTGGTGGTAACATAAAAGATTCTGGACTCCCATCTACATATGAGATGAAAACTTGATGTTTACTAAACTGAGAAATTCCCTGCTTTTGTAAAAGTTAAAGGTTCATTAGCATTAATTCTAAATTATGGACAAAGCCAAAAAACTCATTAATCCAGGTTCATCAGCATGTTTGCAAAGGCCTACCATAAGACCCTATACTGAGTCAGTTGCATCCAATTATTGTTCTCACAAAATATTTCCATAAGAACTATTTTAATGCTATCCTCTTATCTTTGGTTATGTTCAATGTTTTATAAAATTAAAATTCATAAAGCACAACACAATTTCTATATAAGTGCCAGGCAAGTGTGATTAAAAACAATAACACAAAAATATTTTGTGCACAGACCAAACTACTGATAAGTAAGTATGAGTAGCATCTCTAATGCATATCACTAAGCTAAGCTGTCATTTTATAACAATGAATATCATTTCTCAAACAATCAGTAGTTTCCTCTACTAGTTTTCAAAATTCTTAGTCCTTAGCAAAACCCAATTTAGCAATACATTTCCTTTATATCTATTACATAATGATTAAATAATTTATAACTATGTTCATGCCTGCATGTTTGAAACCAATATTTTACACAAATATTAAGATTTAAATTTAATTCCCTGTACTGGTTCATCAATTGAGCCAACAACAATCACCTGGCCTGAGCTGGCCTTCTACATCAGCTGTGCTGCCCTTCTTCACTTTCTCAATGAGAGCTCCACGACCACCATTTTCAAGAAGCTTGCCTCCAACAACCTTGAGTCCTAATATAGCTGCTGATGATGTAGGTCCTACTCCTTCTCGTACAGTCTTCTTCAGGATCATATGACCAATCATACGTGTTCCATCTGCACTAGGCTGCCACGAGAGTGGATGCTGCAGGCCCAAACATAACATAACCATTAAAACTGTTATGAACATCGCATAAATTTTACTTCTTTTAATACAGAAATATCTTAATTTCCATCAAAATAATGTCATTTACAAATTATTAAATATATGGAAAGATCTTACAGAATTAAACAAATCCACTTGTAATGCCACACATATGTAATCTTTTAAATTTAATATCTTCTGACTAAACCATAAAGATAAATTTCTTAATGTAGCATAATTTGTATTGGGCATACGATTTTAATACATATACTGAGCCTATGATATTGGCTTTAGACAGCAAAAGAAGGTCCTGTACCTCAGTTTGTCAAAATACTACTTTCAATTTTATATTAGTTGACCAATACAAGAGTTAATTTTCTTAGAGGTACTGTTGGGACTCAAACAAACATATTCCTCTATCAGACCAATCATAACAAATGTGGAAAAAGGGCTATACATATCTGTGTATCTATATCTACAACAATTGTTATGCCTAGAAACAAAACAAGTACTGGTACTTCATCAATTAACACTAAATCTACATTTACAATACAATGAAGTGTGCCTACATAATAACAAATATACATGATTGACAAAAAAAATTTGTGTTTAAATTTTCTACATATAAACATTATTTGTACTTGTAGTAATAAGAAAATAAATTTTAGTACCATCTGAATAACATCATAAGATTTTCCTAAAAATTAATAATGAAAAATTATTATACATTTAGAAAAACTACATGAAAGGAAATTTAATTTATAAATTTGATACTCACTTTCACTGGTTTAAAAATCATAATAATTAGAACCTAAATTATTTTAAAATTCCTGAGCACACATTTCTTACATATACAGCACACAGAACTACCATCACATGCACATTTCATAAATATAAATCTAACACAGCTCATAGCTCAGTACTTCAACACACACTTCAAGTACAACATAGAATATTAAATGCATAGTGTAAAAGCAATATCGTTTTAGAATAACATTGCAGTTCCTTAATGAAGGCCATTACATACAACATGCCTGCATACATGCATCAGACACATGCCAACTAAAAGTAAAATTAAAGATAAATAATGCTTTAAAATAATATTATGATACTTCAGAAAAAGAAATAATGCTGCAGATTTAACTTTTTAATTGGGGAAATAAATTAATGTTCAAAAACCTAGCTTCAGCTAGCCTTTAGACCTCAACACTGACAGAGTGAATAAACTGAAAGAAAGGAAACAACACAGGATGTGGAAATTATGTATTACATCACATATTAACTCAAAATAAACACTTCTGGTGTACAAGCAGTCTAATGGTTTCAGACTCTTTCAAACAGAAGCAGAACATTCTGCTGGACTTCAAGTGTGGTATATGCTTAACAAAGGGCTGACAGACAGCTTCCAGTCTAGACTATTGAAAAATTATAAATGCATAAGGAAAAACAAACAGATGTGAAACAATCTTCGGTCACAGCAGAGATCATTTTCAGCAGTTGCAAGTGATAGTTTGTGTGCAACATTTCTAAGAAATTGGTAAAGTAGTAATAGTAGAAGTAGAATTAATAGTAGTAAACAAGGGTGTTCATCATTCCTAATTTATGTTTAATATGTACTCTGACAATGTCTTAAAAAGTGACAAATTAAACTGAAGCAATAAACTTTACATAAATGACAAAGACTTATATATACTAATTTTCATTTATGATGAAAGAACTGTACTGAACACCAAGGAAAATCTACAGATACCTGCATACAAATTAAAATAAGGTCTCAAAAAAATACAACATGAAATTATTTTAATGTAAGACAGAAAGCCACACCAGAGTTTTCAGATGCTATGTTATGTATTTATTGGGGAAAAAAGAACAATTTAAGCACAGAAACTTCATAAGTTAACTGTCAATTCGGTCTACTGTTCTCTTCAAAATGTGTAATGGCTAAGAAAATACTACCTCCTAAAACTGCAAAGTAATTTTCTACACAATCTGTGTTAGCTTTTAGAGGCGAATAACCTGTATGAGTTAATATTGTAATCAATGTACAGTTGATGAAATGTAATTAGTTGTGTTATAATATGGGCAGTAGTAACAAAGATGTCAACATAACATTATGCAGCTTCCAATGGAAATATAAGAAAATATTTGTTAAGAAAGTACAGAGGAAAACTATAGAACTTAAAACTGTATAATGTTATGGCAGTATAAACTTTTGTTATATGGTTCAGAATGCTAAACTTTTTGACAGAAAGACAAAGAAATTAGAGAACAAGCAGCAGAGATACAGGTTTTGAGAGAAGTCGAATTCTAGCCCTTTAGCCAAAGTACAGTGTAGAAATAAGAAGGGTACTGAAAGGAGTTGATACAAATACACAAGATAATACAAAATAAGATGGTAGATATGTCACATATTACATAAAATGCTATAATGAAATTAGAATTTTTTAAACTAAAAGCACTTTTATCAGAACATTGAAAAATTCTGTAAGTTGACTACACTTTCCACTTACTAAATTGACATACAAACAGGTATATAAATATGTATGTAATCCAGAAATGAATATTTTATACAAAAATGACTTTGGTTTCAAATATGAAATCAAATATGTGGTGACTATCCAAACTGAGGCTGTAACAAACACTTACAAGAGAAACTTAAATGACCCCTACTGTAATTTCCTGTAAATCCTCCATTAATGTACAAATATAAATATAAATTTCGTTATAATAATTATACAACTTAGTTATTTACTTTTGAATATAATTTCCATTTGGAATTTTTTTTAACTTCAGTAGTGAATAAAAATGAATATCCCCTGGAAAGAAGTGGGATAACTTTCTGATTATCAGATCCATCAAACTTCATGGTCCAAATAAGTCCATAAGAATCTAAGTCAGATTATACTCATTTCAATGGTAGCTTCAACTGTTATATAGCAAACACAATTGGCGGTGGAAAAGTACAATGTATGCTAAGATTTTTAATAAATAGTAGTAAATAAATGTGTATTATATCCAAGCATGTAGTATAAATAAAGTGTTACTGTTGGAACAGAAACGGTTAAATATGGCATCATTCAAATTGTTTAAAGATCCTGATACATTGAAGATTCCTTGGTATTGCTTTCAATTGATACACTATATATGAATGTTCAGGTACCATGTTATTGGTTTTATAATTGAACATTTAAATCACTGTACTATAACCGAAATAAACATACATAAATAAAGCAGCTTATATCTTTTTCTTTAGGTATTCTGATTACAGATTGATAAGCTTACTGTGGAAACAAGTATACAAACAACAAGCACATATAGTTGTAATGACAGACAAGGAATCATGGTGACAACAAACATGGGCAGCAGAAAGCCAGTCATTCATTACCTTGCAGCACAGAGGATGGCCCAATTCATGCAAGTCCTAGAGGTGAAAACAAAGGAAGACAAAGAAATTGTGAACATAAGCAAACAGACTTAGGTCACAGGTGGTAACACACTAACAATTCATCTCTAATAACTTTGTGATAAACAAATAATCGTCTAATGACATGAAGAGTATTTCTTGTTTAAGCAGTGATGATTCATGGAATGTAAATAAATTATTATTATTATACAAGAATACAAAATCTGAAGTTCTTATAGCAGCGAAGATGTCAATGTTGGTTTTCTGGGTTATAATATTGTATGGATATGTATGTAGTTACAAACATTTTGGATCCAGTGTATTCCTTTGATACATTAGTATCTTCCTACAAATTCACACAGCATTACATCCCAGAAGACCAATATTGACAATTATAAAAGACATTTGTTAATGACAAAATAATGAGTTCATATTTGTGTAGTTCCCTTATAATATATCGTTCTATTTCTAATGCAATCACGCAACAATATATCATTCATGAAATACATTTATTATACTTCAGGGCTATAAATTAATAACAATTATTTTATAGCATTCCTTAATATTAACTAGATACCTATCTGAATGTTAAACAACAGGGACTTGAAAATGGTAACTAACAGACATGCATGGATCATTCTCAAAAATATGTACTATAGTAGAGTATGTTTGTCACCTGATTCACTTTGAACTTATGCATCAACATTACAAAATTTATAAGACAGAAATTATAATTTTGGAATTGTAGGATCACTGTAATTATAACATAACAACTTTAAAACCTTTGAAGTCTTTTTAGTTGTTGCAAGTTGAATTCTTTATTTGATTTTGATTTGCAGTAACTGCAGTCATCCTTCCTTCAGTAGTAGGGTAGTAAAAGAAAGAAACTTGAAAACTACAGGATTTATTTAAATTATTTTTATCATGATATTGCAATATATGCACATAAGTTAATTTATAACTATATGTCGTAAAAGCCTTCACAAAACATAGCAAAATTAAAATATGTGGGAATGACAGTAGCAAATAAAAATTTATTTCATAAAGTATTTAAGAGTGGATTAAATTTGGGGGATGTCTGCTACTATTCAGTTCAGAATCTCGAATGTTCTGGTACCCTGTCTAAACATGCAGATTAGAATGTACAGAACTATAATGCTACTTGTCATTTTTATGTTGGTGTAAAACTCTGCTTTCTGCTCTAAGTGAAGAACACAGAATCGGTATATATGAGAACAGGATGCTGAGGTAAGTCTATATTTGGACCTACGACAGGGAAAGTAACAGAAGCTGGAGAAAAATACATATTGAGGAGATTCATAATTTGTACTTTCCACCAAATATTATTAGTATGATCAAACCAAAGCAAATCAACGTGGACGTGATGGTGTGCATGAGAAAAGTGTATGAAATTATAATGGAAAAACTGGGGGAAAATTACTTGGGAAACCAGCAGAAAAAGGTCCATCATAAAACAGACTAGAATTTTCATCACCGACATGAGGTTAGAGTCAGATTACAAGTTGAGGGAGAGTAGCCCATCAGAATTTTTAATTAATAAATCAAAGAAAAAGTATTTAAGCTGTTGTGTTCAAAA